GCTGTTTCAGTGGGAGCATTACTGTGCCACCAAATGGAGCCATCACACTCACTGCTTCTGTCTAGGTAGACCACTTACCAAAATGTAAAAAAGTGGAATCTGATCTAGCACCTTCCAAATTAGGGGTGAGGTGTTCAGGATATTCCCTGAATATCCCAAAGGATATCACAAGATAAAAGGCTTCTCTCAGCTGGAAACAGGTAGTTCAGTACGTCACAGCCCACTTCTGTTAAACAATTTTAAGAACCGGGAAAGGGGTGTGTGTGTGTGTGTGTCAGAAAAAGCAAACCCAAAAAATCCAAACCAAAACACCAAAACCAAACGTGCTTGATTAAAGAAATATTTTCAAGCCATTTATGAGCAAGGAAGGCAGCTTGACAATTTCAACAAGCTGCCTTGACCTGCCCTACTATCCTGCCAAAGCTGCTGGAGTTGGTGGTGTTGCACCATGTGTAGCAGTGTGAATAGAAGCACTGATGCTGGGTTGGGGGAAGAAGCGGTAGTAAAGAAGTAGAAATGGACACCACCATAGTCATAGTCCCTGACATGCACAGCTTCTGCATCACCTCCCATCCTGTTCTTCAGAGCTGGGGTAGTGATACTGGTACACCCTTTCCCTTTGATGGTGGGGTAGAGGTACTCAGAGTTTCTTCCTCCTGTTCTCAGGCAGTGTCAGCAGAGCACCGTCCATGTGCTAACTGATATGCTTGTACAGCACCAAACACCATCAAGTCCTGTTCTTGGCTGTATGTGCTAAAATACTTTTGTTATCAGGCTTGTCATAAACAGAAGATCATGACTTCACTGAAGATCACAAACTTACGCAAAAAGAAGAAAAATTTATCCTAAACGGAGCTGCAAAGATTTTGACTAGGTAGGAAGAGGCAGGGCTACCTGAAGCAAGCACAGCTCTTAAGTCTTCTTGCTTAACCCTCAGCTTAATGCAGCCGATCCCTTCTCCTGCTTGAAAAGAGGACACGTGTTTCAGTTACAGAGTAACACCTATGATATCAAGTTATAGAAATAGCTTCCACAGCTGCCTTGTTCAAGAATTTCACCGTCCCGAGAGAACATTTCCGCAGGATGACAGACATGGTGGATAATGCCTTGTCTTAAACTGGGCACTGAGAGAGAATATACCACCTTCTCTGTGTAACTGCTGCTCAGTGCTGTTGTACAGTAGTGTCCAGGAAACAGAAAGCCAGCCACACGTTTAAAATTGTTAAAAAAAGATCACCAGTCCAGAGAGAAATTTTACCAGTATTTTGTACTTGAAATACACTGAGCATGGTGAGCATTGCTGAGTTATTTCAGTCAGTTTGGGCTCCTATCCAGTACTTTTAAAAAAACCCCATAGCTAACGTGCAGCATGATGGGATAGTCTTTGGCGAGGAACATCCAGGCAGTTAATTTAACTGTCACATCGGTGTCTTGTAATGGTACAGTTTTAGAGCCTGTCTCACCGTGAGCAACTAGACACCACTCAGAAGGAAGGCCATTTCAGGACTTTGTTGAAGAACCCACTGAGCCTGGAGGACTAACAAACAGTCGGCCACAGTTGAAACAAGGTTAGCAAAACGGCCTGAAGTCCTTTTTATTTTTCTTGGCAAACCAAAAGGATCTGTTAATGGAAATATCATTTCTGTAAAATATTTTTAGACTTAAGACACTTGTAAGAGACAGCTTTTTCACAAAGGAACCAGAATGGGGAGGAATAGATGAACTTCACCATTCGGGAAGTTAAGACGTTTAGACTGAACAGGGTGGCAGCAGGCTGCTCAGGAGATGCCAGTGTTAAAAGTGGGAAGGGCAACTTTAACATAGACCTGCGAATGGGCGTAGCAGTTTGTTTATTAGAGCAAATACCCTGTCCTTTCATAGTATTCGGTGACTAAGCAACTAAGCATCGACTTGTAGCTCAGCTTTGTCTATATTTACTGTGGCCTGGCCTACGTGACATCTTTTGAAAGGGCGTTTTGCTGTTCAATGCCTTTATCAATTCAAGAGGTTAAGGAACAGAACAAAATTATCAGATAACGGATGTCAAAACCAAGGAAATACCACCCCACCCCCCTCCCAAAATCAAGGTGTAGAACTTCTTGCTGCAGCAAAATGTGGAAGCTACAAGTATATAGCTCATTAATAAAAGGGATGAGACAAAATTAATGGAAACTAAATCCATCAGCAGTTATTGCAGATACATAGCCTGCAGCTCTGGAAGCCTATTGAAAAATTAAACAAACCAAACCCAAATCCAAACGCTACTAACAGTAACTGTGAGAAGACAGGAGCGTGTAAACCATGGAAGGATCACTGTCTATATGCCCCCTTTCTCTGAGCATCTCCTGTTCGCCACTGCCTGATACCATGCAGTGCCTGATGCACTGAGCATCGTCCAGGAGATGCATGGAGTGAGCAGAGCTTTGCAGGGGAAGGAGTACCCAGTTACATGACTGAGAACTGCGTTACACACAGGCTCACGAGCAGCAACAGTCCCCAACGCGACACTTAAATATTAAGTGCTTAACTATGTCGACTTAAATGCTTTTGTGTTCTTATGATATATATTTAAAATAGAAAAAGGAAGTGGTCTATGCAAAGGCAGACTTAGTTCTGAAATAAACAGTTAATAGAGATTATGGTCCAAATTTTGGTAGACTTAGTGGTATTCCTTCCTCCCACTCATACTTTCCTCCCAGTTCTACCTTGAAATTCAGCCTGTCAATCAATTGCAGACATTTCTTATCGTCTAGATTATTTCCTGGCTTCCTCCCTTCAAACATTTACATTCCGTGAGCATCAAAACCTGTCCACACAATACATGAAAGTTTTAAGTTTGAAGCACAAAAATAGTGATACCATTTTTCCAACACCTCAGAAATCACTTTTACATTTTTTAGCCTATGTATGTATAACAGGATTTGCTTCCTAAGTCTCTTTACTCGTCACTTCTGTGTGCAAAATACTTCAGAATAATCAACTAATAAAAAGCCCAATTCCACTGTAGAAGTAAGATGTTAAAGGGAAACTTTGCTTTTTGCCCATGTTGCCTTCCCCCACCCCCTCCCCACTTTTGGTTGCTGTTCGCTCTACTTCAGGACCAAAAGTCCAGCTGCTCTAAATCTAAACACTACTCAGGACATATGGCAACAAACAACAAAATGAGTTCCAGTGAACACTGGCAAGCACTATCAGCTCAATAGATCTGAAGAAGGTCTCTCTAGAGACCTGCATAGCACAAAGCATCAGCAATACAACCATCTCCCATACTGTTTTGGGTTTGTTTTTTTTTTTTTCTTCTCTCCAAAATGCCTGATCCTGGTCTGGGATTGTTGAGCTGCTTCACACTTTTGATATCAGCCGTCAGAAGATTAGCAGTGCCATTCAGCTCCCAGCATACAGAGGGGTTTCTGCTACTGACAAAGCTGAGCTGCAGCACATACTGTTACTAATCTCAGAAAGGTCAAACACTTTTCTGATAAAAGGTTTTGGTTATTTTACCAACCTAAGGGGGGGGGGGGGGGGGGGAAGGCAATTGTGAGCTGTCATCTAAATTCTTAGATTGTTTGGATGTTCTGAAGAGAATTCTCTCATGAAAGTCCAGAAGGTCTAAGGGAAGCTGAAGGGAATTACAACTTAATACCCACAGCCTGTCTAGAAGACATTAGGATTGTGTCCTTGCTCAAAAGAGGCATTTTGGGACGTCAAACCACAGAGTAAATGTAATGCAGAGCTACAGAACAAGACCTTTTGGTGCACACTGTCAGCCTGAAGGGGTACCTAGATCCTCCACATGCATTTCAGCTGACCTACAAAGCTGTGTCGATACCCTACACCATGACCTGCCAAGTCAGCTCTGTGGAAAGCAAGCAGGGGGATATCAAAACAGCACACAGCAAACGAGTGAGACCACCAGATTCAGCCTCCAAGTGCCAAGCAGGCTCCGGCTCAAGCAGTGTAGGAAAAGCATGCTCCTGCCCTCTCCTTCCCATGCAAGTCAGACCAAGTTTCCCAGAAAGGGACCAAACCATTTTTTATTTTTTTTTTTAAACTAAATGCTTTTAATAGAAAACAAAATACAAAATAACTCTTTCCAGAAAGCAGAAATATTTAATCTCTCCAAATGACAAACTAGAACGTGCTTTTTCCATAGATCCTTGTTGTAAATGCTGATGATTTATCTCACAAAGTGTTCATGAAACTGATATTGCAACATTTTTTGAGAAAAATTCAACACTGGCAGAGCTGCCTCTGTGTACGCTCAATAATTTAGTAAAACTATTTTTTCCCATGTCACTTTGTGTGTCTCTTTCCCCGTCCCCCTCTCCCTAGACTGCCAACTTCCATTTACGGAAATATTTCTGTGAGGTGCAGTGGTGGATTGACATGCCCCGTTTCCATTAGGAGTCCAAACTTAGCCGCTTCAGTTCTATTGTGCCCTCTCTCCAGACAGGGCAAGTTGTTTATTACCCTTAAAGCCACCACTCTACCCCCACTGTCCTCCCATCCTCAAAACACAGTGCAACCAGGCTCAGGAAGATTCCTAATTAATGGAACATAAATACAAATATCACAGCTAGTACCAGGAACCAAACCCAAATGACAATGCAGAGATGGGCCCCAACTGAGGTCAGATTTACATCCCCGTCCTAAAAAGAAAGATGGTATTTTCTACTTAGCTAGTCCAAAATATTCCAGAAGTGCTATAGGGAGCTGTAATATTTAGGACCACTATCACTGTAGAAAATACATAATGTTCTTTTAAAATAAGGGTCTTAAAATGCTGGTCCTCTGCAATACCAGGAAAACAAAAGCAAAACGAAACAAAAACCACTGGGCCAGTAGTTCTCCACACACTCAAGCCTCAGCTAACAGTAGGTAAGATGTGCCCATCAATCAATGCAGGATATTTAAGTGCAGATCAGCAGCTTATCTGGTTGGCAGTTTCATTTGTTTGGACCAGGCTTTTGGTTTCCCCAGGCTACTGGATTTCCTCCCCTTTTCCCCATCCCTACAAGGTTAGAATGTATACGTATTTTCATCACTCCTCCTTTTTTCCTTATTCTGTTCAACACCACAGTCTTTTTGGGGGCAAGACATTTTAAAGCATTTGCATCACGCTGAACATGCCTTTCAAGGGGACAGAGGAAGAAAAGTGTTTCACAGTCAGTAATCTCAGCTTGCAATGGACTCTGGCATTCAATACACCCACCCGCTTCCCTAAGAAAAAAAAATTAATGTTCCTGATTTTCTTGTGCAATTCCAGTCACTAGAAGAAGATTACAGGCCATAAACTGTACGCTCAGTACATTATTCATTTGTCCGGTATATACACCAACCAGTTCACTGGAAGACCCATCTGCAGGGGCGTTGCAGTAAGTGTTCCGAATGTCCCAGACCCGGACTGAATTGTCCATCGACGCCGAAGCAATTAAACTACTGTCGGGGCTAAAAGTAAGGCTGGTTATGTTGTCCGTGTGCCCCCTCAGTTCTTTGTAAAGAGTTCCTGAGGCCAAGTCCCACAGCTTTAGCCGCTGGTCTTCACCTGCTGATGCCAGGTACTTACCATTGGGAGAAAACGCAAGTGCTAGCACGGGGCCACGGTGCCCAGTGAAAAGACGCACCGAGTTGCCTTGCTGAGTGCTCCACAAGCGCACAGTTTTGTCCGTGGAGCCCGTCGCTAAGTAGTTGGAATTGGGGTGGAACTTGACACAGTCTACGTCTGCCAAATGGCCTGCGTATATTCGCAGTGGGTACGTCCGATCAAATGACCAGAGCCTTGCAGTGCGATCGTGGGAACCACTGGCAAAGTACAGGCTGCAGGGGCTAATATCCAAGTCCCAGACAGGATAGGCATGTCCTTGGTACAACACAGTGTTTGTAAAACTTCCGAGGTCCCAGTATCTGATGGACATGTCCTCAGAACAAGATAAGAGTCCCGAACTGTCTGAAAGGAACCTCGTGCTATACACAGGTCCACAGTGTCCTCTCAGGATCTTCATTTCTGTGCCTGCGCTGTCATCTTCTTCCTCCTGGTTGGGGAGGAGAAAAATAAACAAGAAAGGAAACTATGTTTATCTGTTCAACAAATACAGGAACCACCATGATGAAAACAGGCGGGCGTTAATACTGAAGGCGTTATTTTAGACATGGCGCATTTTTTGCAACTCTGAGGCACAAACATTGCTAGTGCATTTGCTGCATCTAAGTTAATGCTGAAAGAAATAGGGAGGTAAGAGTTTATGTAAAAGTTTTATCTTCATTTCAGGTAGCCTCATGCCCACTCCAGAAGGCACCTTTAACCTGGGATTGTAGGCAAATAGGGGAAAAAAGAAAGAAAAAAAAAGTATTTTATGACATTTTTCCACTTGCTAAAACATATGCTTATTCCCTATCCACTCTCTATTAAACTTTTGGCTAAGATGTTGAAACAGATCTTGGCATCTGCTCTTTTGGTGTGGTCATTATGGGAAGGGAATCTCACAACAGAGAAAAAGAAACACAGATGTCTTAAACAAAAGGCAGGAGACGGAAAGACAAAGCATATTTGGCATGCTGTCTGCTGGACATTCCTTCTCAGTCCCACATGTGAACAGAAACCCAGTAGGGCCATAATATCTATATCCATGCAAGCTCTATCTGGATGCTTTCACAACCTCACCCTTCAAGAACAGCAAATGTACGCAGCTTATTTAGGTCAAAGGATCTATTTTGGGGTAGAAGATGAATAATCACAAAAAGGATGGCACTGGTAACCTTTTTATCCTGTAATTCTCAAATTCAAGTACCAGGGCAGATAGTCACAAGTAAAGGCTTTCACGTTTAAAGACTGCTCAGTGAGCTGTGCTAAAGGAACCTCCCAATGCAGGGTGAGTGTCTCTGAAAGTCTACTCAAGTAGCATCTCTTGACAATCAAAGGCCACAGGCAGCACAATTTTCAACAAATCTCAACTCAAGAGAGTGTCCCTGCCCAGCAAGCTGCGGTCTCACTGACAGAGTGTGAGATAAGCACGGCTTGGGGTGCACCTGTGTAGTAGCTTGAGATAACCCTTCCTCAGGGCTGTCAGGCAGACACTTTTCCTCAGTACTGAATCAGTAACACTCATCCGTGGACAATCTCTGCACATCAAATTCAATACAACGCCCTTTTGTTTGTGAGCAGCCCCTTTAACTTTTATCATCACAAACTGTCCTGTTTCCTGCCGAAGGAGCACTTCCTGCCCTGAGAGGAAACCAATTCCCCAGGGCTGCCGGACCGCTGACGACCAGCACAAGCCGGTGCGTCGTGAGCAGCTCTCTTGGGTGACGTGACATCTCCCGTCCCTCTGACCTCAGGACGCAGACAGTTTTGCTTCAGACTTAGCAATAATCCTGAAAGCTCTTCTCCTCCAGTGGTTTCAAATCTCACATCAGAGGTGAGCAAACTCTGACTTAGCAAGCTTGCTGCCTTTCTCCCACCTCAACTGCTTGTTTAGTGGTAGGCAGCAAGCCGCGTTTAGCAATGTTAATTCTCTTCAGAGCAGTCAGTGCCCATGGGAGTTTTATGATGTGGCTGGGAGCCAACTTCATCTCTACTATGGAGGTGAGGCAGAGAGAAACTGCAGGCTCTAGCATGCAAAGCCCCATTCTTATTCAAATGGCTTTTTCTACCTCAGATAGAGCATTGCTTGCTGGAATCCACAGCATCTCTAGGCTATGTTACCACATTAAAGGAGAGAGGCTGATACCTGCAGCATTTTATACTACTTAATTATGACCGTAAGATTCCTGACAAGTTACCAGTGGAAGCTCATTCACATTACTGATATTGTATTACAGTTTCTGTAAGTTCTGTAAGTACAGGTACTTAATTTTATGCCTTCACATTCATACAGGGCTTCTTGGGGTGTGTGCAAGCACATACGCTTTCTCTTTCAAGGACCTAATCTTCCTTTCTTGTATTACAGTAGCAGCTTATTTGACAATGCCTTCTGCAGCATTCAAAACCACACTCCTATATGGTCACAGGTAGCAAATCTTATCTTTGACTTCTGTTTGACACCCATTTAGCATAACAACTGCACACTGCTGTTACAGCTCACCAAAACCGGTATACCTATAATGCTTCTGAGTCACTAAACTTTTCCATTTCCTCCCTATCCAAGTAAGTCTGCTGACCAGATTAACAAAGCAGCTGGAAGTTCAGCCACTGAATTACTACCTTGCAGAATGAAGCTTCATTTTTTTTTGTCAGATCAAGCACACTCTTCCTTGCATCCCACAGCTACTACCATGTAGGTGAGCCTTTACAGCAGCTATAGAAAGGTTACAACCTGTGCTAGAAATCAGCAGGGAGACAGGGAATCTCTCTTCATAATATTCTTCTCAGGATTCCAATTTCACACACTGAATATGTTTCTGGGATATAACATACCGCTGGGCACTACCCAAATATCTGTTAGCTCTTTCTGAAGTGGTTTGTTGGTGCAACCACTGCATGAACGATTTGTATTTCCTTGGAATGGTCAAGAAACTAAGTTACATAAGCCTATTTTAAACAGTAATGTACACACCCAAAAAAGCTACCTTTTATTATTTGTATTACCCATTTTGAAAAGAAGAACTATCAAAACAGATTTTAAGTAATAGGACAGAACTGGAAAATGTACCAACACTACTGAAATGAGTCCAAGAAAACTTACTCTTCGACAGTGAACAGGGAATCCTCCTGAGTAAGTACAAGACTCCCAAAAATTGTATTATTAGGAAACCGAAAAGAACAAAAACATTGGCATGTTGTTTCACAGGACACCTTCCAAATGATACACCTATGGACAGACTGTGTAACTCCTCAGCTATTACTTAAATCAGTAATGGATTTTGCATGACAGTCATCTGGACCCAGAAAAATTTACTGCTGATGCATTTAACCTTGTAAGCAGCAAATATTATTTAGCTGACAAAAATGATCTAGATCTTCCACCCAGTATAGGCCTCAAGGGAATGAGTGAGCCTCAAAAAGCAACAATGATAACTTCAAAAAAACAAACCAAAACAACATTTCACTGTCCCCCGTCCCCTCCCCCCCTTTTTTTTTCTCCTCTAACTAGTAACAAGTTTCCCTGGGTGTCAAAAGGGCAGATCTCTTACTAGCCTACAGTAAGAGAAGTAAGTTTTCCTTTCAGGGAAAGATGAGGGAGCAGACACCATGGCTGTCTTTGCAGGATATTTCTTACTGCTCCTTCCAGAATTCCCTCCCATGTGCCATCCACCAAGGAGTCGGTATCATTACTGCTCACTACTACTTGAAGGACCGCTGCCACTCAAAAGCAGAATCTTAGAAGCAGAGCTAAATGGGGTCAAGTCTTAGTCTTCACAGAATTTAAAGGTGGCCACTCTTCTGGCTTGGAACAGAGAGTATTATTTTCTGTTGTTGATTTATGTAGTACCACTGATAAGCATGGCAAAATTGCAGAGAGACAACGCGTCCATTTGCCCAGCTGCAAAACTGCATTTTTATACTAGACCTTAAGAAAGAGACACTATAAAGTGGCATTTGTGAGATGCCACTATAAATAAAATGGAATTACTTTATCCCTGAATAGTAAGTCTCTCTCTCCTATTTCCAAGAAGCAAGACAACACTTGTGAAGTGCACTGGGCCATCACACTGAGCAAAATTTATGAAAGCTACGCCTAGTAGAAGACTTTGACTTTACTGACACAAAAGCTTTTACACAGACTAGGAAAAAACATCATTCTCCAACACTTTTGCCAAGTCTCAACCTCATTTTTATACATATACAAAAAGAATTAATAAACCCAACAGTCTAACTGTAACGCCACCCTGGAAATGCCACCACTGAAACTCGCACTTTTAGACCTCTATATCTTCATGAACAGACGGATCTATTTGCTTGCAGCAAATCAGAAACCAATCTAAGGATTAATTCTTTCAAACACTACCTCTTAAATATAGTGTCCGAAGCTAATTACACAACACAGCAATCAACTAAAAAAAAACCAAAATGAAGAAACCTTACAAAACCCAGCCAACTTTAACATCCTCACAAGTTATTCTATAGTATATTCTGAAGTAACGGCAAAGCACATTCAGAATTGTTCTTTGTCGAAGTTTTAATCAGATTTGTCACTGTGAATTGTTGCTGATCATACTGCAGCGACAGTCCGAAACACAGCCCCTGTTCACACTGAGCTGCATTACCGATGACTGCAGCCCAGTCAGGGCAGTCTTGTTTGGTCTGTCTTGGTATCTGTGGCTTATACTCCCGTGGCATCCAAGCAGGTGCTGGTCTGTTCCCACCTACGACCCTGTGGGTGTCTGTGTATTTTCACTGAGGGCTCCCAGATACTGGAATTTATTTCCTTTGTAGTCCATAGGCTTTCGTTTGCATTTTTCATTCAGGACACACAACCAGCAGTGTGTTCAGGCTGGTATCCTCCCTTAACTTTGAACTCCTGATCAGGTCACTATTTGTTTTGTCAGTGGTAGAAGTCATTCAGGGTAATGACGACTTTGATCTGTGCTGGTCTTTGACCAGTTTTTGGTTTTAGACCTGTGCATGAATACTGTAGGATACACAAAATATTAAATAGCCAACAAGAGCCATTTGCACTCAAGCTTCCATAGCTGTTTCATAATACACGTACAGTATGCAAATATGTGTCTACGTGCCAAAAAAGGCTAATATACACTCCTGATAACCTGGCAATATCTCACTTTTCTATAGTCTGGAGCCAAAGGAGGTGACCTGCTGATTTACCAGAGAAGTTCTCCTCTGTCGCAGATTATTGACATTTGGTTTCCATGACAAGCAATACACAGAGTCACATGTCCTAGAACTCTTGCAGCTTATAATGAAAACAAGTCCATAGTTCTATCTCAGGCTAGTCTGACCCACTTACCTGCTCACCCTGCAGAAAGAGTTAACCTGGGAAGAGGTGAGCATGCTGCTGTGCTATCTCACCTGGATGCCTGCCTCTAGTTCTCAAGCTGACTGACAAAGCAATCCCTACCCATAGATCCCTTCCTACAGCAAGCTCTCTGCACCCTTCCAAAATAAACAGAACCCTGCCACTAGGTATTTTTTTATAAGAAGAAAAAACAGCAAAAGAAAGGATGTTTCTCCTGCTAAATGCTCAACACAAGAACAAATGAGGCTTCCCCCCCACACACTTCAAGAGGGGAGTGATTAAACAAAGGAAGAGTCACAAATTCTGATCTCTAACCAGATATAAGATGCTACGTGGGCAGCTGTGGTGAGAGGGGAGGAAGGGCGTGACTAGAAGGCAAAAAAAAAAAAGTAAACTAGAAGATGCTATCTAGCCTAGCATGTGAAGGCACAGACATCCCTGTCCTTGTCTCCAGCACTCCAGCGTAGGAAGCCTCTGAAGTTTCTACAACACAGATTCCTTAATAGAGACATTTTGCGTAATTTTTCCATGCTAACTCTTCACCTCTGGTTAAGGTGGTTCCTTAAATACAGTTTTGCATTTGGGCATCCCTCCTCCTTCCTGAGGTCTCAGACCAGCTGCCTCTGGCTCCTTCCTCCCTTGGTCTTTATTTTCCTCTTCCCGAGTCTCTCCCCTTCTCTCCACCCTTCTGACTGGTTGTTCTGAGCCAGTTTCCTTTTAGTTTTCATTCATCACAGTGTGTTTTTACTGTTCCCACCTCCTTGTTTCATCTTCCCATCCATAAGAAGGCTCCTCAGGGATGGGAGCCTTCTCTAGTCACCTGCCCTTACTGGGCTGCCTGTGTACTGCCACCTGTTCAAGGACAGCTGGAGGAGGGAGATCAGCACCTAGGACTAATAACTATGACCCGAGCACAAACTCATTGCACCTCAGTGCAGCATTTACAACCACTGGAGAAAAGCACAAGGATGAGAGCAGGCTACAAAATTTGTCTGTCAAGGCAGACAGGTTGTGCAACAGCCTCACAGTCCCTTAAGACACTATTAGATACTCCGCAATGCATGCCCAAAATACCTGGGCAGAAAAGGGGGGGGGGGCAGGGGGAATTAAAAAGAAAAAAAAATAATTATCCAGACCTCCTCATCCAGGATGTCACAAGCCAGGCGGATGCGGGACACATCAACGAGGTGGGGCTCAGATTTTAACTTCCTGGAACGCAGGCTCCACAGCTTCACACACGAATTATCAAACCCAGCAGCAAGCAGCTTGCTATTTGGTGAAATCTCTGCAGTGTTCAGCAACTGCTCTGTGTTATAGAAGGCATAGAAACAGATGGTCGTTAAGGAAGGGGGCCCGTCCTTGACACGTTTAATGCTGTCCTGCAGTAAATCCAGCGCTGCCTCATTCTGCAGAATGGAAGCTGGCACGTCACTGGGTTCCAGGCCGTTGCTCTCGTTGCGCGAGGAGCTCCCACCAGCGTAGAGCTGGTAGTCAGTCCTCTTGGCGGGCTGCACATCCAGGTGAATGTGCAAGGTCAGGACTTTGCACAGGGCGTTGTTGTTGTCACTTTGGAGGTAGCGAAGAAGGTAGTTGTAGCTGTCCTCTTGAAGGCGGATGACGTACTTGTTGTCCAGAAAAGCCCGGAGCTTCAAGTTGGACAGGATATCTTGAATAGTCATGGTAGTCTGCAACTGCTCAATGATATCCTTCTGGCTGGCATTCTGCAAGAACATGCCATGGAAGCGGCTGTAAAAACTGTCCACTGTGCTTTTTAGGCCATTCTGGACCATGTTCAGATGGAGGTAGACGAAGAGGGGATACAGAAGAGGCATCACTTCATGGCTGTGCTGAGAATCTGAATCTATATAAAAAAGCGCAACAAACTTTGAATGATTTCTTAATCCACTTTCTACTGGGAATAAAACACAGCAAGGACAATTACTGAAAAAAGCCTTGACAGTGGCATCAGATAGCAAGCAAGACAAGACACTATTGGAGCACCTACATGAACCTCTTCTATCACCTAAAGCGGATATACAGTTCCTATTTACAGATCTGAAGAGAGATTTTCAAGTCAGTGAGGTATGTTGTCAGAACAAAATGCAGAGATTTCAAAACCCTTTTTAGGTGTGGGCCAGCTATTAAAGTACAACCTCAAACTACGTGACAGCTGAATTCTTCCCCTATGTATTTAAAAAGAATATGCCCTCTGTGTTTTTGCAATAAACGGACTTGAAAAAATTAAAATAGTATTTAACATGTTTAAGTCAAAATTATTTACCTAGCTTGTGCAGGCCTGAACTTAGGTGGCTTTTTTTCCTTTCAGCTTCCATAAAACTTGGACGTGGTGCATCAGATGGAACTGATTTGTCTTGGGGGGACAGGAAGCTACAGTTTCCAAAATGTACAGCAATATGCTGTGCTCCTGTTTTATTTCTGTGCCTGCCGATGTGTGCGCTTTCTCTCTCTCTCTCTCCCCCCGTTTCTCTGCCAAGGCAAATCCCAGCAGTAATTCCTAGTACACAGTGTAACAAACTCCCAATTAGGCTGTGCTGTACCTTGCAGAGACTAATCTGTGTGACAGCTCCACCCCTCCTGCATCAGCTTCTTGGGGCTGTTTCCCTCCCACATCCAGCCGGCTGCAGGGAGCCTAAGGAGCGGAGCCCTGCCGCACACCACCACAGCAGCATGCAGGACCAGAACAACGAGTTGCTGGAGGCCCAAATTACTGCAACAAAATAGGCATTGCTGGTCCTCAAACGGCACTTCTGGCCTTCCAACAGCAATGCTTCTTTTCAGCTTGTTCTCCCCTCCTGCCACTCACCAATGCATATTCTTCCCCCCCCCCCTTTTCCATTAGGTTAGTTTTCCTCTCCTGTTGAGCACTCTTCCAGACTTTCTCTGGTCCACACTGCCTCTCTCCCATTTCTGTATGAGTAACTACAGAGTGTGGTGTGCAGTGTATACATACATATTTGCATACTTAGGTATCATTCTCGTTTCTGCCCCACTGAAACTGGGCCAATACCAGTGAAACCAGTGGTCTGTATGTAGTAAAAGCTCTAAGCAGCCAGCAGGTGCTCTAGTCCAGAAATGCGACAAAGGAAAGGACCTCACTCTGCAGCAGGGTAAAAAGGGAAGAGATGGGAAGTTTGCAGAAACAGGAACGAAGAAAATGTTCCCCAGGAACACATGAAGAGAGGTTACGGGAGCTGGGTATGCCGAACCTGGAGAAGAATAAGGGGGTATGCAACTGCTGCCTTCAGTACCCAGTGGGACATTATGGAGGAAAAGGAGCAAGCCTCTTCTCAGATGTGCTCAGTGAAAGGACAAGCTGCTGCAAGGGAAATTCTCACCAAATCGCTCAGCCCTGCAGCTGGGGCCCAGAGCAATCTCCACACTTTCTGATTTTCAAAACCTGGCTGGACAAGGCCCTGAGCAACCTGATCAAACGCCCATCTTGCCCTGCTTTGAGCAGCTGGTTGAACTAGAGACCTCTAGAGTAATTCCTACATTATTCATTGGTCCTAGTCCCCTGCCCACTCCTCAGTGCCCCTGGGGGCAGGCATCACAGAAATGGAAAGTGTCCTGCTGCGCATTGTGGCTGACTGGCAAGATACTTCCTTGCAGAAACAGAAGCAGTTCATGTGTGTAAGAAATCAAAACTGAGCAAGAGGGACAAAAAAGATGAAAACAGTCGACCTGAACACCAAAACCATGCCTACCACTTCTCCAAGTGATATTTAAGCCACTGAACAGAGCAATCATGCTTCTCAAAAATCTATTGAACTGTATGGATTTACCTCCAATAATAAAGTGCAGTGGTGTTGAACTGCTTCAGATGGTAAGGCTAAGACACCACTATTCTCCGCCTCTGCCTTCCTCATTCCCTCTCCCTTCAGCAACTATCAGGAATATTAATCCTAGTGTTATGCATACTGGGATCAAATCCTTACATTGGACAAACGTAGGTGTGCCCAAAGGCAGGAGTGGCGGCAACCTCACCTTCCTTAGTACTGTTCTCTAAAAATCCTATCTGTTTTCTGTTTCCCACATTTGGGACTCATAGAAGAAATAAGGATGTTCTCAGGAGTACCCTTTTTCTTTAATTACTAAAAAAATTATTAAAAAAAAAAAAGAAAAATCATTAGTCTTCTGCATCACGCTACTGAATGACAATTTTTTCACTTTTTTTGATATACCTCCAGTCTCAAAGCCAGTACAGATAAATTTAAGGGAAAAAATTCTCCCTTAAAAATCCAGACCGTCATAAAAATAAGCTAATCATGAATAAAATTTAAAGCCCTAAACTAGGGGACAGCATAGAACTAAACTAATTTCTAAGTTACTTGCCTTTCACATACAATACTCTAATCTTCTTGTCCTGTATATGTATGGTGTTGTCTAGAAGATACACAAAGCCGAATGCTTGAATAAGAAAGGGCACTCGGCTATCTACAAAAGCCAAAGGTACTCAGCACTCAGAAAATAACAAAGAAGAAAAAATAAATATTTCTAATTGTAGTAACTGAAATCTCAAAACTAGAAATCAAAAGATTGTCAGAGACATGATTTTAAATTTTACTGCATTGTCCTTTACTCACTCGAATGACAAGAAAATCAGTTACTTTCCTCTTCCTTGCTTCCTGATATTTACCTGTGAGAAAATTGCGTAATCGTCCAAATTGTACTTCATATTGCTGTGGCTCTGCCAGGCAGGGAGCTGCAGACACAACGTTGGCACAACCAGATTCAGATTGGACTGTGAAACAAAATAAGTAAAAATTAAATATGGGTTTAAGGAGTTTTGCATGTGTCTGGAAACACAGCTTCTCATAAAATTCAAGGTAATGCAGCCACCAAGATGACATTTCATTGTTTAAACCATCCAGGGATGACATAGTCCGAAGCATCTAAACACAGTATTAACAACCTATAGATCATGAATGAGAAAGTATACTGAAAGCTTAAAAAAAAAACCCTAAAAACCTCAGCAACTCACCTGCTCTCCGCAGAATACACTTTGAAGTTTTCAAATATGACCTTATATTCCCAAGAAATTCAGAGTAACACCATCACAGATCTCTTAACTGTTTTACAAGATTCTCAGCGGTTTTACTACTTTGCACTCAGAAAAAATGAGGAAAGGAATTTACAACTTTCTCCAAAACAAAGTTTCTTTTTCAGCGGCACCCACCAACCATCATGGACAGGTCTGCAGTGACACTTCAGAGTCTCAAATTCTTTGTACCAGTCATTATCATTTACAACAAATTATAATCATTATCATTTACTAGTATCCCAGAGGTGGTGGTGAAAACACACTGAGTTTCTAAGCAAACACTTAGTAGTTTTTAATCAAAATGTGTCCTCCTCCCTAAGGATTTTAAGTTAAAAGGCAGCTGCTATCTGACCACAAACCCAGTTGTTACGGTCTCCTGAGGTGGTGGTAAACTGATTTTTAGAACCAGTACTGACTCTGGGAAAAGTGGTTCTGAACTATCTAGAAAAGGAATTGGCTTCTTCTCTGGCACCAAACCTTTGCTTTTCTGCAAACCTCTCCGAATCTGACAGGGGACTCACCGTGCAAGTTTACAGACACCCACCAACATACCCTAAGCATATATAAATACCAGTGATTAGAAATGCGAATCATAAAATTAAAACTAATACGTTTATTCATCTGGTCTTCTAAGAAGAGCATGAAGAGGCAAGGAGTTTCACTGTTTTCCTTTCCTAATTTTTTTTTTTCAATTCATAACTGTTTTCCCCTCCACAAAACCTATTTTCATTACTCTCACTTTCAACTCCTTCAACTTCCTTCAGTCTCCCCTGCCCCCCATGCTTTCCACCCTCTCTCTTTGCCTTCCTACTCCTGACTGATCGCTTTTTGTTCCAGCCTTTGGCTCACGCACAGAGGCACAACTCTGACAGCCCTGGAAGTCTATAAACGATATCATCAAATGTTCACATGCTAAAGAGAGATAGGGCAGCCTCCAGCTTGTCTCAATGCTTCTAATTAGAAAGAGATCAGCACATGGTGTACGTACAGGCAGCCTGTCACTATTCTCCCCCCTCCCCTCTCTCTCTCTCTGGTAGGACGCAGGTCTATCTTCCTGCAGCTTATGAAAATACAGGAGGCATGTTTACCAACTCTCCAGGGCAATCCAAATTCAGCTTTGGAAACAGAGAGCTGGGCTGTGCTCATCATCCCCTCACCGGAAAAAACAAATACAAATTCCAGCACCAATGCCCTATCTTCTCTCAAATCAATTTAGAAATAAACAAATACAGCCTGTTGAAAGGTACAGATACACTGCGCTTTCGACAGCCTGGCTGCTTCAGAAACTCATGGTAAGAACTCCAGGCTCACATACCGGTATTACTTAATAGCTGAAGTAAAAAACTCCACTATTTGCACTTAAAATTTAATATAATCAATATTCAGCAAGAGAAAGTAAACTGCATGCGCACACCTGTAGTAACTCAAAAATGCTTAATGACGGTTTTCAATGTCACATATACTACTCACTGTAAAAGCAAAGCAAAACAGAAATATGAGGCTTTGTCTTTTATGCGATGTCACAGGGTTACATGCAAGGGTCAACTCTTCACAGACTTCCGGTGGCCTCATTTCAGCAGTAGCAGGAACAGGAATGACTTGCTACCTTGCTCATGCCATGCAAACACAGCTTGCTGTCCTTGGCTTTATGAAGTGCTCCCTCCGTGCCACCTATAAAACTTTTCTCTGCACGAGCAACTTAATTCCAAAATTAAGATGTGCTTCATGCTTTAAAGAGGAACATCGTCTTTGGCTACCTATCCTGAACAGTCTGACTAGGCAATCGTTGTGTCCTAACTCTTTCAGTAATGATGCTAGAGCTTGTTCCCATAAAGCAAATGGTAAACGAACTGTACATACCAGACAGTTGTAACAAGTTCAAATTCTCATTCTTTTCCTTCCCAAAACTTTACACCAACTAGAACTGCAAAAAGGATCAAGAGCTCAACTGATTCCAAAACAAGAGTAAAATTGCAGGTGTATTTTTCTCCTGGTGGAAATAAAACACTGGCCATATCCTTCTCATATATTAGTAAATCTAACATAGTTTCGTTTACACCTTCCTTAGTGGTCATTAGACCATCTATTGGAAACATCTGCTCCTTGACATCACTTCCAGTAATTGCAGCCAGCTATGAGACCTGATACCAAATTCAAAGGAACTCGCCCCTATGTCAGGGATACAGACAGTACCCTCCTGATCTTGTGTGCTGGCTACGAGCAGCATTGCTTCCAGCTAACAAATGGGGGGCTACTGTCAATGCTGTTGAACAGCCACTGATTCCTCTTTTATGCGAGTGTGTCGATGTACAATTTTACATTTTTTCAGATAGTCCTATGTGTCAATAGTATCCTATGGGCAATATTAGAGGAACGTGTTCCTTAGTCACTCATTCTGTCCTCAAATATTCTTCTAGTTTTCTACAGAAATATGGGATAGTCACGAGGCTGTATTTTACTGCAGATGCAATTGGACAGGATGCTAGGATAATCTCATCTTGGCTCCCTTTTCCAGAAAAGGTTGGACCAGATGATCTTCGAGGTCCCTTCCAACCTGGGCTGCTCTATGATTCTGTGAAGACAGACCTGTACAGATATAGCAAGTATATGAAGCAATGGAGAAGGGCGGAACTGAAGAGACTCTGGAAGAAGACAAAGCGAAATGCTGAGGTAAAGCTGAGAAACAAAACTATTTAAAACCAAAAACAGAGGACGCTTTGCACCGTGAAAGAAGAAATCACAGAACTGAAGACAGAAGTAGGCAACTCTTCCATTTATACAGGCTGATTAATTTAAAAGTCAAACAAAAGGAAAGAGCTGAAAAAAGCACGGTGAGTTTTATTAAGGAACAAGCAAAACATCTTCAGAAAAAAATATTTTATCGCTTCCCCCGAAATAAAGCAATGCAGGCTTTAGAATCTGGTCAGTTTTTATTCAGTTTGCAAAACTAAGATGACTGCAGCAGAAAGTATTTTCAGACTCTGTTGTCAGAGTAAGTACAAGCTGGGTTTTTCTTTTTCAACAGTCATTCATGGAATTGCAGCATACTCACTGACATCTTACTACAACCGTGTTTGACAAGAAGAATTAGTAAGCAGCTGAATACATAAGCGTAGACCATTTTCAGTTCTAATGAAAACTGATGACTAAGTTCTGAATCATCAGCCACAAAACCCTTGCACTGGCAAGAGGATACACACTAGTAAGAAAAAATTTAGTAATAACATTTGGTGGAAGATTGGTAAAAAGACAAAACCCAATCACGCACTCATTCACTCTCTTTGAAACATTTTTTTTCTGCATGATGCCATATGCGAATGCAAGGGCTTGCGATCCAATTCATCTCTCTTACTTCAGATACTCTTGTGTCGTCCTCGTATTGATTGGTCACAAGTTCTAATCCCGTTTCAACACTGACCTTTCTATTGATCTGTCCTGTAAAATCTCCCATCAAAAACTATTCAGCATTTTATTTTGGTTCCATTCCTGCCCCATCTCCCCCAGTATTATTCCAGGGAGCTGCAACAACCTTCCGATAGTTACTCTGAAAACAGCAAGAAAATGAGAAGTACTAAGAAGATATAAGTCACTTCTAATAACGAAGTATTACCCAATTTCCTTTAGGCCCCTGAGAGAGTCAGCCTGGACACTTACCCACAAGTCACTCATTTTTGGATTGTAACTATGGCAAAATACTCTAGAGCTGTTAAGAGCTATTTTGGCATCCAATTGTATCTAGCTACAATCACAGACTTATACAGCAACTAATGTTTTATCGAATCAAGCTGTATCACAAGTAACTAAGGTCTTCACCACTCTTAGTCACAATCTAAGCAGTTTCATTATCAGAAAACACTTCCTCCTTGCATTTTCACCCAAAGGTCAGCCCAGTATTTTCTATTATTAAGTAAATTTCATCTTTATAACCTCCATGTTGCTTGCATCCTTTCAATATTTGTATGTGCTCAAGCAGCAGCATAGTTTGTAATAACAAAAATAATTATTACAATGAAGACTGCCACAGACAGGATCTTAAAAGCAGAGAGTGTAGCAGGATTCAGAAGCCTTTAAGAAAGAGGAGAAAGGGCATGCAGGGAAATAAACTCTCTCATCCACTGAAGGATGGTGCTTTGGGATCCACTGAAGGATGAGAGAGTTTTCAAGTGACAGAGCGGAGCTTTCACAACTAGAAAGCTGATGAGGCCAGAGAAAGGAACTGCCTGTATCATTTCCATTTCGCATGATACAGCTCTCCTGGAGTACAAAGGTACAACATATCTTCCTGTTTCTACTTAATTCCTCACCTAGCTGCTTCTCACCTCTGTCCCAAAGCACCACTACTCACCAGACTTCGTGTTCTTTGGGATACAACACATGCATTTTCCACTACCGTGACTTGGTATTTCAGCCTGTTGATTCACAGACTGTGAATCTCACCTTTTTACACTTTCATCCATGTTTTCATTCTTCAGAAGTTCATAACTCACGCCAGCTTCACACTGGGAAATCTCTTCATTTCAAAAGAGCTGTCCATACGTGCAGACTAATTCATGTAGTTACCAATATACATACTCGCACTTGTCACAACTCCGCCAAGAAGCATGCATGGAAAATATGACAGGATTACCTGTGAGATTAGCTGCCATCTCTTCAGCAGTCTGACACAGCCTCAGCCCTTGTTTTAGGGGACCTTCTGAGTCCACATACTGACGGCGCTTGAGGTAGCAGGACACTGCCATCTGAATCTGTTCTGTGCGTACGCGTTTCATGACCTCAAAAGAAAAGAAAGAGATGATGGGGTTCTTACTGTGTAGGTATATGCTAAGACTGACAGAGAACAAACGGCTCAGTATTTTCGTTGCTGAAGTCAACCAATTTCATTACTGAAGTATGAAACAAAACCTTTAGGCATGCGCCTCTAAGTACTAAGGTGTAACCAGACACTTTGAATCACATCCATGAAGATACTTTGCTGCCTCATTCTCCTAATTTCACCGAGGAATCCAAATACTTTTGAGGATTCTGGACTAAAACTGCAGTGGTGAGCTGGAGTATTTGATTTTGTTAAAAATTAACTCACAAAAAGGGAACATTTCTCCTCCTTACTTTTTCACAGTAGCAGTTCGGGTATTCTTCAGTCATTTTCTGATTCCCCTGCTTGACCAACCAACAAAATGATATCAGAAGAGTCAAGGGAACGAGAAATTAATATACAGGAAGGAAATTTCAGAATCATAATGCTTTAAATAGCACACCGATTTTACCTATTTGGGGAGTCCAAGAAGCAAGAGCTTATTGACTGTTAGAGCCAAACTTTTGGCACTTCAGTCAGGTAAGTTCCCAGAAAAAAACAGCGACATTAAAACCAAAAGCGGAGCCTTCTGCCTTTTTTGCCTGCCCCCGTCTATCTAGACTTCCCTCCTACAAAAGTTTTTTTAAAAAATCCTTTTTAGTGTCCTTTATATAAATTTTGAAAGCCATCCACACAAACACCACTTGGTAGTATCTCAAAACCAAAAGGAGCCTGATGCTAGCTTTTAGCCTCTGGCTTGTAATAAAAGAACCTCAGCAAGATGAATGCAATAGCTCCCTTGCTATTTGGGTAGTCACCGACTGCCACCAATCCTTCGCAATAGCCATCAATTTTACATAGATGTTTAGATAATGTAAAAGGCTTATAAAGTAGACCTAAGCAACAGTTTTATTCTACCAGAATAATAAGTACACGCTGCCTCGAGATAGTTCCTTACAGCCCCGCTGCCACAAGACTTGCATACATTTTACAAGTGCACATGCTTTCTGGTTTGAGCAGCTAAATCCAATGAAACACAACTTTTCAGAGACAGACAAGGATGCCCATTCCTCTTCCTTGTAAGAACACTATTTCCAACAAAACGGCAGCTCTAAAAATAGGATCATAAATGAGCCACTTTAGTGCTTATCCTGCTTGTTAGGACAATGAGCCCTCCGTGGAGTTCCATGCAGATGGGGACGCAAGGTTTCAGTAAAAGTTAAACAGATGTGTGGAACTGCAAACCCATATGCTCTAGGGAAAACCTTAAAAAAACTTCCATTTGTTCTCACAGGTGAAATAACTGTTGAGGGTGGGGAAGGGGCATCAACAGGTGTGGAGTTTTCAAAGCACTTCCAGATAGACTTATTAAAATAACAGGTTTCAATCACAACTTTACCCACTCCAAAAGCAAACTTCCTTTTCATCTTCCTTGCAATTAAAGAACCTAGATTTGAGACTTACACTGTCTCAAATATAACACTTCTTCTGCTGCACAAAACTAGAGGAAAGACAGAATTCTAATGAAGACCATGAAGAGGGGTGGACGAGCACCTTAGCACCCTCCTAAAACACACCCTGAACTAAGCTTCGCACTGTATGCCATTGCCATTCTGCATTACAGCTAGCAACATGGACTCATGTACAACTGACTTGCTCAGGTCCACACTAATGCCTCTGCACACAGTCTGCCATACAGCTTAGGTTTGGGTAGCAACTTAATTACATTTGAGATGTTCTCACAGATGCTTATTTCAGGTCTAGAAACCATTTTGGAGAGTTTGCATTTGATTGTGGTACTTGGCTTATAATCCAAAAGAAACTCACTCACAAAATGGCATGGAACAGATTCAACTAAATGTTTCTGAAGTGGTTTAGCCAGTCAAAACTGTGCAAATCAGCCTCAGGTCTGTGGTTCAACTGCAATGAGAGAGCATCTAGAAATATCATTGCCCATACTTTTTTGCTTCAGTTATAGGATCAATTTGTGCTAGGTTAGATTTGGTGAGAAAACCCTTATTCATTACGGCTCAGCATGCACATGCAGGTAATTCCTCATAAACTCATAATGGATCGGAGAAACCAAAAACTGGTGTCTGAAAGATGCAGAACTCCAAATGACCCTTAGAAATGACAGTGACAAACAAGAGGAGCACTGAGATCAGCCTTTTCAAGCTGCTGAACAAGCAAATGACCAACACAGAAAATGGTAAATGTTAAATGATAGGCAAAAAAAAAGTAGTAGGTTACCCAGCAGTCTCAAATTCTAACATCAGGACCAGACATTTTAGCAGCAAGAGAGAAGGGCCTGGGAAAGGAGCACTCGCTGGCAGCTGACTTAAGTCCAAGCTTTTTCAGAGCTTTGAGGATAACAGGGAAGCCCCAGTTTCTTCAGCCAGGATTAGCAAGGTGGTGTTTGCAGCTGCTTTATGCAATCTGTACAGTTTCTTGCTCCCTTCACATGCCTCGTATACTCCTCCCGGCAGTCAGAGTAGTATGTGTTATGAGCCATATCTCAAGGAGATCTCTGTCCCTACTCCCAGGTGACAGAACAGGAACTACATTACAGGAAATGCACCTTCACCAAGAAACACCCCTTGGCATCAGACGCATTGTCACCCCTACTTTCATTTCAGATCTTTGTTTCTTTGTTCACTTTGCCTTTATATTTCAGCATTACAAGGTGCAATGTCACAGGAGCAGGGAAAGCCTTCATGGAAAGTGCAAGAAGAGCAAACCCAACATTCCTACAAATATGCTTTATCAAGCCCTCAAAATTAAGAGTGTATCATAAAATAAACATAAGGATGGCCTGCCAAAATGCCTTTAACTGGGTTCAAACTGAGCCAGTTCACAATAGGTCAATGATGCAAAATTTAAAGGCAAAAAAGGACAAGTCTGCCATTTTAACCTCCAATAAATTTTAAGACTCTAGCTCTCATTGCTGAAGAAATCTCCAAAATATGAAACAAACTGAACATATATAGCATTCTCTGTCCGTGCCTGCAGAAAGCTTGAAAACAATTGTTCAGAAGTCCCAGATGCCTCGTTTTTCTCAAAGAGCCAGAGAGAACAATAAATACTAATGCCATTAACTATTTTTACTGATAAGCAAAATACATAAGGAAAGAGAGAAGAAAGGTCAATCACATCAGCAGTCTGCACAGCTACAATGCAGCGTCTTCTGCAGTGTCACAAATTGGAGCACACACACCAAAAAAATAGGATATTAGGTTAATTTTTTTGAGGAACCAAAACCACTGAAGAAACCCAGAGGAAAGGCTGATCATACAAAACACATCACAAGTTCCTCTTTCCTAGAGAAGCTGGAAGTTAGCTGTGCACTAATCATTCGGCCAAGGAAATTAATTTCCTGCCTATGCTACATCTCAGGTACAGGTTTAGGCAGATTCCATGGCCTTGAAATATTACCGGTACAGACATACGAAGAAGAGCTTGAAAGCTAATGTTGGAAACCCTGGTTTTAAAGATGATGCATTCCTGTCCTGACATTGGGACAGCGGTCTCTTCCTTCCAACAAATTGAGGAAAGACCTGTAAGCATCAGAGAAGAACCAAGGACAAGCAATCTTGAAAAAGAAAAAAACCAACAATAAAACAACCCACAAAAGCACATTCTGAATATTCTCTGTCCGCAGCTGAGGCCTGTGATGCAGTTCTCAGTAGAGAAGTGCCATCTTTTATCACCACAAATGAAATTTGGAATCTACCAACAATACTAAATCACCTAATTTTTAATTTCGTGACATCAAGTTGATCTAAGATTTACAAAATTTCAGAATAAACAAGATAAGGATAAACTAATACAAAGATCAGAACCTAGAGCCAAGGGACTTCACACATGCAGCACCTGCAATTCAGAAAAACGGGCAAGTAAGTTGACACAGAGACTCGGCGCTGTGGTGGTGGTAGTGCAAAATAGGAAAAGTGCTGCAGATCGCAGGAACTACGGCGAAGGTGTTTGCCTGAGCAGCGGACGTTCAGGCGAAGAAGGCAGAGAGGAAACAGCTGTGATTTTTGACGACCCTGCATCTCTTCGCACGGGACGAAGACCTGGCTCACCCTCCACGGGTTTACCCATTCCACGACGTTCCCCTCCCCGGCAAAAACAGAGCCAAACGACGGGCTTCCTCCCGTTGGATCTCCTCTGGGCTGCCCGAGCCGGGACACCGCTTCCCTCCTGCCCACAGCACCCACCGCAGGCCTTCAGCTCCCCCTCCCCCGCCACCCTCCCCACCTCCTCCTGGCCGCGGGGCTGCCGCACCCGCCGCCCCAACAACCCACGCCCACG